CCGCCCTGGAGCCCGTCCATCCTGGAGCCCATCCACCCTGGAGCCCGTCCACCCTGGAGTCTTGTCTGTGCCCAGGTAGCCCAGGTCTGCACTTGGAACTTGCTCCTGTGGGACCGACACGCGGCTGGGCACACTCCTCCCTGCTTCCCTGTTGCCATACCGTTCTGTTTATTTTCTCAGTCCCTTATTCAAAGAAATTCCTCTAAGATTTTAGCATTGGCTTAGTTATAATCTTTTTTTCTCTCTAAAACTCCAGAACATCTTCATTTTCACTGCCCCCCCTCCCATTTCAGGTGCTGCTGGTTTCACGGACAAGCTCTCCCCAGCCGCGGTGGATTAGGCAGTCCTTGCTTTTGAGGACACCACTCGCTCCTGTAAGCGAGCTGTCTTAGGCAGTTGGGGTGATTCCGCTTTCATGCTGTGTATATGTACTAGCTTACTTACTATTCTTTTTTTTTCCATTTTGAAAGTCTCAGGCCTGGGCTGGCGGGTATGGCTCAGTGTTGTAGCTGCCTGCCTGACAAGCACAAGGTGCTAAGTTTGATCCCTGGTACCACAAAAAAATAAATCATAATAATAAAAATAAAATACATAATAAAAACCTCAGCCCTTTCATCAGGTTTAATTTTTCTCCTTCTGAATGTTCAGGGGTGTTCTCGAATGCCCTGTGAACTAGATTACAAGCTGCATGGCTTAGCGACTTCCGCATGTGCATGCGAGCCCTCCGCTGGCTGCGGCTCCACCTCTCCTCCCTCAGCAAGAGGAGCCCACTCTGGGTTCCCACTGAGCATGGGGTGCCCTGTCTTGTTTGTCACCACGCTCCATGAACCCCAGAGTTCTGAAAATGGGGCCTGACGCCGGGCAAGGAGCCAACGGGGCTCCAGGGCGCACCACCGTCTGAGCTCCGTCGTCTCTGACTCTCAGGATGCCTCAGGGACCAAGTCCTCACTCTCATGCAGGTGCTGCCGTCCACTGGAGCAGGCTGGAGGAAGCGTGTCCCGCAGCCTTAACGTGCTCCCACCAGCTGACCTTTGGCCAGCACTCTCTGCAGGTCTGGGATGCACCCCTGACGGCCACCTGCTCTGACCCATGGGGTGGACCGGCACAGGGAGCTCCCTTCCTCCTGCCAGCATCGGCACCAGCTCCCACCCTGGTGCTGTGCACAGGAGGATCCTGTGCAGAAGGAGAGCTTCCCATGGGGGAGGGAAGCAGGAGTGGGGCCTCTGGGCCAGGGAGGCTCGGGGCAAGAGGCAGACTCAGGCAACAGGGAGGCGCAGCTGCAGACAGCAGGCACAGGGTGGAAGCCCACACGCAGACCCCAGGCCAGCAAGTGGCAGGAGGATGCGGTGGCCCCAAATGAGTGGCGAGCAAGTCCTGGAGGCCTGGCCCAGAGCTGCAGCTTTACAGAGCAGAACAGGGGCCACAGTCAGATTCCTGGGGTGTCCGCTGGGCCCGGCCAGTGCACGGACACATGGGACCCGGGGCTCTCTTCGAGCATGGCCCTTCCATGCACCAAGCCTCTGCCAACTCCCAGCGCACCACTGCGCACTCCCGGCGTGCCCACCACACACTCCCACTACGCACTCACAGTCCCGGTCACCAGACGGTTGCACATCCTCGAAGGGAAACACATTCAGCAAATGGGCACATACAGGATGAAGCGCTCGCTTCTAAGTGTTCATTGTCTTCTGCAATCTGCAGTATTACAATAATTTAAAGTACGTGCACAGCTGTAATTCCTCCATATAAATATTCACAGTAAATACGGCAGACTTTTATTATAACAACTGGGGCTACTCAGCGCTGACGTGAATGACTGTGGTGCTCCTGAGGGTGAACTCAGAGCCCTCCCACTAAGCCACCTCCTCCACCCCGCCCAGGCCGAGGCTGAAGCTGACCCTGGAATGCTGGGGTTATAGGCGGGTGCCGCGATGCTCATCTTAGCATTAATACAACTTAAAAATAAAAACGTAGAAGAGGATGCCAAGGAGATTATAGAAGAGGGTCTCACTACAAATTTTAAAATCAAGATGAACATTTATTAC